AAACAGTAAAACTTCTGAGTAGTTCATTCAAGCAGCAAAGTCCAAATCCTCCTCTGTGGTTGGGATAATGAAGCAGAGTTAACATCTTTAACCTATAGAGATATCAGGAAATTACAGCCACAGATATCAGAAAATTAAGACTCATGCACAATACCATATCTCTGAATTTGACAAATGTATGTAGTGGAATTACATACGGTCCAGGAACTAAGAGATCCATTTAACAAATGCTTTTTAAAGTTAACAGACATATTTCTCATAGTGGAGCATGTATATCTAAATTGGCATGTTAAAATGTAGGCACAAAATGTGTTTCTTCAGGTTTAGATCAATTTTAGCACTTACTCCAGTAATTGCTAAGACTACTGCAATGTTTGCTTGGACTGTGGTGATGCCGACCGCAGCTTCCTTTCTGAAACTGTAAAAGTGACCTGCAGTATTTGAGCAAGTAAACACTCCAGGGCTCAGTTCACAGAACCCTGAACCCGTAAGCTGCGCACAAAGAGCTGAACTTGCTGTTGTCGTGAACGTGCTGTTGTCATGAACGATTACATCATTTGCATTGACGAGTCCCAGCCGCCACACCTACATAGTGCAGGTCACGTTTGTTCAGAGTTTATTAACAGTGATCTTAATGCGTGCACTCAAGTCATGGCCAAGCTGCTCAGTTCATGCAGTTTGACAGGAGCTAACAAGTTAAGAGAAAAGTGAGTCAGTGCGAGATCATTTATTTGCAATCAAACCATTTTTCTTTTGAAATATTAACCTTTCACTCATCGAATAAATATTTGGTGTCCTGCATTTCCTTTGTTTTTACTGAACACATCTCACTACAAGTATCTTTTGTATCATTAGTTACAGGGAATGAGGAGGAAAGTAAGAACTTTTTGGGATCACCTCAGACTGTGAGGAGGCAGTAAGAGCTTGTTTTCATATACTCAGAGGGGTGCATCTGTTTTCCAAGGCTATTAATGTAACAAGAAAGTTAACAATGTTGAATAGAAACTGCTTTGATACTTGAATAAGGCCTACCCTCTTTTAACTCTAGCAGAACACCTCAGAGGCCTTCAAGGTACTAGAGAATAAAGGACACAAGATATGTGTGATTGCATGTCGCAAAATCACATGAACAGCTGACTAGTCAGTGACTCCCTCACTAGCTTGTGTCTTTTTATTCATTATTAACTGACTGAAATGATTGGTCGTTTTTATTACAGTCCTGCAAAGGCCACAGACAACTGCTTTTTTTTATTCTTTATAGATAATTGTGTTTATTGACGTGAAGAGGATTTCACCAAATAGTATGAAAATAGCTTCAGAAAGAACTTACCAACCCTACCTTTAACTTCATGCATAATACAACTCAAACAGGCTTAGAGGACGTAGAACAAGCCACATGCATTCGCCTCATTATTTGAAACTTGAGCCACGTTCAATAATTCTGTGGAAAACACCAAGTTCAGAACATCAGGCTGGAAATAAATATTTGATCCTAACCAACTGAGAGGATGACATGACCCAGCAGTGCATCTATTTTGTGTTAGATAAGCAGATGTGCATCAGGTCACGATCTCAGCACACGTACAGTCACACACACTGGGTCATAAGACATTTATGGACCAATATAACTGCAATACGATTTCTGACAAGTAATACGTGTCTTTCTGTAATGCCAACTAATGCAATACTGCTCAGGTTACAGTTCTATTTTTAACTGCTATTGATTTTTTTACTCCAATTTAAACAATAAACAGAGTTGTAAAATGTTTAGAAAGAAAACAGTGGTTTACCAACTTGAATGACTACCTCTTGTATAAAAAGCTTCAGCCTACAACATCATGATTCATCACTAACCAGCTCCACGCTACTCTTCTCAATGATTCAAATGACAGTTGCTCTGAACTACCTGACTTCCTCATAACGGTGAATTAGGAGAATTGTTTGGTTAACAATTCCCGATCTGACCAGCTTCCTATTACAGGACAGTTATATGAGTCATATTGTGATATCAATCAGAAAACAAACTGAGATAAAAAGGTGAGATCTGGCAGTCAGGAAAGCCTTGCCAACGTAGTCTTTCTTAAAATTGTATGTGTGCGGATATGTTTTATAATTTGAATTATAATGTTTTACCATCAGGCAGAGGTCTGCACAATGCAAACACAAACCTACACCATAACAAAAGGCAGGATGTGATGCCAGATAAAAACAAATATTGAAGTTGGCCACATTAAAGAGCTCTGGAAAGGGGCTGATAAAGATGCAGCAGCTTATATGAACACTTTGAAAATGGCAACTGCAAGGAATAAATACCTATTATTGACTAATAATAACATTTATAAGGATTACAAATTGATAGATCTGTCTGTCATGTTTCTAAAAAAAGTGAGAAACTGAAAAATAAAATAATAAGAAAAAAAAGAATTTTCAAATTGCTTGTTTTGTCTGACCAATGGTACAAAATCCAAGAATATTGTTGACTTGATGAATATGAAAAGCGATAAAGCCACACACATTTTTATGTGACAATCAAATAATCAGTTGTCCAATTCGTGATTAACCGACTAATGAAATGGGTATGGTGTTCGCATGAGTCGTCGGAGAACTAATAGGAAACACATAGTAACAGGAGCTGAAGCAGCATGGGAAACAACAAGCCGGTGTACAGGAGACCTTAATCAGAGCAAGAATGTCACCCTGACAACTGGGAGATCTAAATCTGGACAGCAACTCCACATGAAAAGAAAGTGGTCACAAAAAGTCAAATAACTATCACTCACTCTCTGCAGGAACAATGTACTCTTTTCACTCAACATCCAGTCACATAAATTAGCTTAAAGAGCTTATAAAGGAACACATAAAACTTCCCAACGCAATCACCTTGCAGATTTTTGAGGAATAACTTGTCGAAGTCAGGAGTTAAATATTATGCATGTGTGCAACACAGAGTCAGTTTGCTGAGTTACTGACTACCATGACCTTTAAAACAGACATGCTACCGAGAGATCAAGCAGCAAGGTTAAAATAAAATATTCCAGACTGCACAGTCCCATCAGAAAAATCAAATGCTCTTGTGCCCCCATTTAGACCTAAAGCAGGATTTGGGGAGGGTTAAAGAATAAGCACTCCATTCATACCAAAGTAAAACAATAGGTTCCGAAGGAACAGAGAAAATAAAACAGGAAGTCTCCCACACATTGTCACACCTGATAGTTCAGAGACAAACTTGAGACCTCAGAGTCCAAACAGAAAAAGAAATCACCTCCGGACATCTAATCAGCAAGGCTGGTTCAAAGAGACAGGCCTAAAGCAAAATTTAAAAAATATCATGACTGATTCAACTAATGTAAAAAATAATCAGGGGACTTTGATAACATATTGTTGTAAATTATGCATACGTTATCTATGTTTTTGTGCAAAATATGGCAGAAAAATCAAAAGGTAAACAGGCTTCTGTTCTTGACAAAGCTAATCAACACAGACAGAGTTAAGCAGCAAACACAGTGAGATCATGCTAAAATGCTAATAACATTAGACAAGCCCAGCAGCTATAAAACTGATTAAAAAGCTGAAAGAGATTTACTTACTGTGATGCTGCAGTGGTTATGTTAGCATGTGATGATCTGTGCAGGAGAGGGTACTGTCTTGTTTAGTGTATCCCCATCAAATTAAATTATCTCTGCCGCTAGTGCTGCTTTACCGGCCGGCTTCTGTCCTGTCCTGAGTGTGTCCTGTCAGAGTGTGGAGGTGGAGCGGAAGGAGGAATGAGGGAGGAGGAGGAGGGACATGTGGAGAAAAGGCGTGGTGGTTTATTGTGGTGTTTGCCTGAGTCACAATGGAAAGATAAGTGACCTAAAAGTAAGAAAAGACAGTGGTCTAGGACTAGATGATAAAAATGCTCATATCAGTTCATATCCACAATTGCCACGATAAATGTTGAATTATTATTATTTCTGTAAAGTTTAACGACTGTTTTTTGCTCCTGAGTGAAGATTGTGGATGTAAACTCTTCTTTATGAGCAGGGAATGACAAACACTTGATAAATAGTAAAACATTTTACACATCTGAGGTAGATCAACTATGTGGTACACCTCCTCACTACACAATGCATTAGCATTATATGGATATATATGTTGGACTTTTGTTATATTGCTTTTGATGAAACAGCCCTACAGTGGTCTGTGAGTCAGCTGGTGTCCAGGTGATAGTTACACAGAAGAAGGTCAGGATTTCCCTTGTCCCCACAGAAATCAGACATAATTTGCATCAGTTACTGCAAAGCTCCAGACTCTGGTTTCTTGACTCTGTATTAAACAAACCAGAGCAGCTCTCAGTAGAGCACATACCTCTGCACCAAGGCCCAACAGTACCATTAAATTCAATCAAGCTCACACTCAGATATTCAATATTCGATATTCAATTATTCCCTATGCGTTTTTTCTTATTAGTAGAGTTAGAGCAAATAGAAGCACTAGCAGGGACTGTTTGAGTGCAAGGATCTGTTGTCCTGCTCTCACACTGAAAGATTACACTTGGATAAATATAGGGGGAAAAAACATTAAACTGTACTCTGTGTTTAAGAAACTGAAAAAAAAGGATGTGTCCTCAGTGTCTACCTCATCTACTGACAGGACCTGGATTTACATGAATATTGGGATTACATTTACTTATACACAAAAACAATTGATTGATCAGAACAAATGTATCATGCTGCTCACAGAGGCCACTACTGTTTGTTAAATCTGGCTTAATTTAATGCTGAAGACAAAATCACACAGTATTGCTTCAGTCAAAACAACGTAAAGAGAATTGGAAACATGAGCACAATGAACACAATAAACAAACATAAAAGCTGTTAATACTTCGTAAGCATGTGTTTATATTGCATGCAGCATAGCCATCATGCTTTGAGACTATTTGATCATCAACACCTTATACAACAACTCACTTATCTGCATGTTTACACTGGGATTTCTTAAGTCTTTTGTATAGTTCACCAAAAAAGGGAATTGTGGTTTCTTAACTTGTTCTAAAATAGAAACTGACTGGTATTCAACATGAAACCTGATTCGGTCATGATTTCACAGCAAACAGCTAAAATATTCAGTTACATCACACAAGATGGTTTCCAAAAAGTGAGGAACTTAACATTCCTCCGCTTTGCTGAACTCTCTGAGCCGAATCTGGTCTTTGACAACCCCCCCTACACTCTGTAAACTCATTAAAAGAACAGAAAATGATTTATCAGCGTAATCTTTCACTGTTTGGAGCCACTGAGTCAGCTACTAAATCTTTTCATACAGTACCTATTTTAGTTTTTCAGTCTCTGAGAAGAAACTGATAAACCTTTTCATCATTTTTCTACCCAGGCAAAATTACTTTTGAAGACAAAACTGAAGAAACAATGTAGTAAGATTACATAAACATGAAAACAGACCGTGAACTGAAATTAGATTTTACTTTGCTTTGTGAAGTATGAAGTTAAATCAGTATCATGATAATTTCAAAATTTCACATCAATTAATATTAATGGAGGATTATTTTACGTTATATTTATGTTATACGCTGATGACCTTTTGGGGTTTACCCCGCCTCTCACTCACTGCCAGCTGGGATTGGCTCCAGCGACCCTTACAGGATAAGCAGTATAGACAATGGATAGATGGATTGTTTGTGCTCAACCAGATTAGATGGTTTTAAACACTGTGTCTTTAGAAAAATGTTAAACCAGGAGGGAAAGAACAAGTGACAAAAACTTAACAAAGGATAAATAAAGAGTTTTTTCAACTCCAATCTTTAAAATCAGACTAAATTCAACTTGCTTTCAGATTGAATTTGGGTTAGAGGTGTGCCTCTGCATGTCAATACTTCAATCTCAACCAAATACGTTGAACACACAGTAATGTGCAGTAGTTTACACACAAAGGTCCCATTCATTACCCTGGAGCTTACAGTAACCCATGTGCATACAGAGAGGTTTCACCTTCTGTCAGTCTGTGTTGTCTGACTCTACAGTGTAAATGATGGTAGATATACACAGGCTACTGTTACTGCAGGATGATCAACAATGAGCAGATGACTCTCAATAACCTCACAGAGTCACCAGTGTTTCTGACAGAGGAGGGTCTGAAGATGTAAGGACATGTTGGTTCTGCTGTAAACTGAGATTGAAAGCTGAAAGACCTGAGTTGATCATTAAACTTCAGAAAGTCAAAACTAACCACAGAGAGGCTCCAAACAAGCTCCAAAAACTGTCTGCTGCAATTCTTAATCAAAAATAATAACTAGTTTCTCTTTCTTCACTCTTTTATTTCTTAATACTCCTAGTTCTGATCTTACTGTCTATTTTAATCATTTAATAAGGTTTTATTTGATCTTGTTTTGACTCTGTTCTCATCTGTATCTGTCCTCATGCTGTGGGATTGCTTTTTAACTGTTTCCTATTGTTTGCCTTCAACTTCTCATCTAACTCATAACACCTCGTGACTGTGTTTTGAAAGGTGTTCCATGAAGTTGTTTTTTATTTTTTTAATCTTGATGTCATTCTTTCAGTTTCTTTACACATGCTCTTTTATTAGTGTATTGCCTGACGTTGATTTTACAATGTGCCACGATGCCTTGTGAAGCACTTTGAACTGTCTCGTACAAATACACTTGACATGCACAAGTGTCACAATGAGGCAGCAGCTATCACATTATCAAAGATCCAATACAGTTAGCTAAACCGGTAGAGCCCAAAATAAACTTGTTAGCTCCCAACACAGCTGAAACAACACGGTGTAAACACTGAGCCACAGCTACATGCAAGTGTGAGCTCGGAGTTGTGGGTGAGTTGTGGTTAGATGGTGGTTAGATGGTGGTTAGATGGTGGTTTGTTGTTCAGACTGTGCGTGTTGTTAAGATGTTAAATACAGAGCTTGAACCGAGTCATCAGCACTTCCACCCTCAGACACGAATCCCACCCTGCTGCTGCTGGAGCGCTGCGGAACTTCCCCCTCAAGTTTGTTCGCTCAGAAACACCAACATGTCGAACCGCTCAGCTGAGTGCGGGTTCAAACGAGAGGGAAACGAAGGAGAAGAGAAGGAGAAGAGGTGAAACTCACCTGAGTGTGTCCGTGCTCTCTGTCGCGCTCCTCGCCGAACTCAGCTGTCACCGCCGCCGCTCCGCTCCGAGTTCCATTTGCTCATCTTGAGCGCGGGGCATCATGGGACACGTAGTTCTGCGGCGAAACAGAAGTGGTTTGTTTTAAAGAGAGTACATTATTAATAGCTCTTTGGTTGCTTTTTGCTGAATCGCTAAATCGACTAGTTTACTATTGTTTGCTGTTTTACATTTTAAAATAAACAGTGCATTGCCCATTCTAAGCATGCCTGTGTGTTAAAGGTTCAGATCCAGTGGTGAAGTTGCAGCTGAATGCCCATCATCTCCAGAGAACCTGTGGCAGCTTCAGTGGTCATAAAAACTCAATAGGTGTTTAGTTTGTCCAGTCTGACTAATGTCAAAACATGGCAGCCTCCATAGATATAGACCCTGATATAAATATAAAGTATTTCAATATAAAGGCTTCATTCTAGGGTAATGAAACCCACAATTCACTCGTTCAATACATTTTAGAAGATTACACACTTGTGATAACGGCACTTGGATTATTTTAGTTTCAATTTCTGCCAATAGATCCATTTCACCTATCTGACACACTGAACCTTTTGTGTTCATTATTGAGTCCTCCTCAAAATGTTCTATAATACACTGTTACTTTATTTATTGTTTGTGTGCTGGACGTTGTGTGCAGAGTATTTTTGTTAACAGTCTATGGTGAAGGGTGAAGTTAGAAATCATTGCGCTCATCCTATCCTATCCTATCCTAACTTGCCCAACATGTCGTTCTTCTGTATGTATATGAGGGTAATTGGCTCTCATGAAGAAATTGAGCAAGGCTCCACACCAGCAACTGGTCACATGCAGATTATTTTAAGCCAGAGAAATCACATCACACTCTCTGGATATTTTTGGTTGACCTATCTGATACAGATCATACACTTGATCCTGCACACAATAAACAGCAGATGAGAAATGCTCATCCTTAAATCCTAAAGACTATAATCTGCTATAAATTAAGTTTTTATCCTCTTGCCTATGCAATAGAACTCACAGAAGTTGATTTACTTACATACAGAATCTTCATCAGGCCTGTTGTAGAGGAACAGTCCTCTACAATACTGATCTGTCTGATTGTTATGGTTGACTTTGTGAGAACATCTGTAGTTATTTTAGCTACCGACCTACTTTATCAAACTAGCATGGACTCCCACATGTGACTGGAGCAAATGCTGGGCTATTTTAACCAGAGAGCCATGTACCAAACCTGTCTAAGAATGTGCAGACCCGTACACACTTGCTCAGCTTCCTTATTAGGACTTTGGATTGTCTTCCATTCATTGGGGACAGATTAACCAAAACCTTTCCCACCCTTAACCATAACCAATTCATGCATAACCATAACCACAACTCACATCTTACCCTTGACCTTAACCAGGGCCAGCGGAATTAAGTTTTGCCTCATTAGGAGCATGTTTTGGTCCCCAAGAGGACTACTGGTCCTATTCATGCATGAAGGAAGGACCTATGAAAGTAACAATCAAACACACGCGCGCGCGCGCGCACACACACACACACACACACACACACACACACACACACACACACACACACTATCTGACTGAAACGCATGCCTCTGGTCTTGAGAATAAACGAATTGTGAATCTCTGTCTCCCTCTAGTGGTAAAAGTATGAATGGACTGAAGGGTTTTAGTGTAAACACCTGGTCTAAAAGGTCTCCCTAAACTTTAGTGGATATATTTATACAATCCAAAAATGGAAAGCCTTGGATATGAAAGTATAATTCAGAATCCAAATGACTTGTCAAACAGGTCAAAATCCTATAGGTTATATATTTCCTGTGATTTTTGGGCAGAACCAGCAAAATTGAAACATTAAAAGAGCTTTATTTGTTGTACTTAATGTTCCAGGTTTAATTTTACACTAACCTAAGTTTTCTGTCTATAAATACTAGTCACAATGATATTTTAATACACTAAGTACAATGTATCTCTCTCCTGGTACAGGTGGTTCACTGCAGCTCTGCTGTCCGTTGATCAAAAATATTCCTCAGTGGACAGCCAACACTACCATCTCTGTGTGTCTTCCATTTCTAGTTGACGATTAATAATTTACAAAAGCCTCCATCAACCCACTGAGCTAGTGGTCTGCTCCAGGCCACTTCCTCTCACAAGGACAATGGAGCCATTTCCTGCGGCAGAGCATTAGAGGGAGCAAAACAGGCGAGTATTGTGAAGCAGGGACATCATACTATCAGTGTTTCCTGCCCTTGGAATGAAAGACAGACCTGACCATACAGTGAGATTCGTGGCTTGTTTGCAGAGAGACTGGAGCCAAGTCAGCCAGACACCACTGCAGACATGCGTTTGACTCCTGCCTACAGGATATCCAGAGAGTCTCTCCGGACAGTTATCTGACTTTGTAAAAATATGGTGTGTTTTAAAAGAGGCAAAGAGAAAGAACATATGGGGAACCCCCTACATGTGAGTCCAGTTATTGTAAGAGAGCAGAATCTAATTTATTCTCATTGAGACAGAACAGGTTTGACACACACAAAAAAAACAGGACAGCAACAAGTCCACATTATAAAAAAAAGTCAATATTAAATTAGTGCTGAAAATGAAAAGACAGGTCATTTTGGCAGGGTCCCAGCAAGACACAGTCCCACATGTTGCCCACGCTGTTAATTCCTGGCAAATTTTCAAAAATAAAGACGCCGCTGTGCTCAAAAACAATGGTACCATTCATGTTACTGCAGCATCTGTGTCCGCTATTTCTGGAAAATGTGAGGAAGCCAAAACAAGTCAATGACAGCACGAGTCAAAGATAAAGGAGAGAGTCACAGTTTTGAGAGCAAAAGGTGGATTCAGATGGTCAGGTTTGTGGATATGAAAGCACTGTCCCAAAATAAACGTCAGGACCCTCAAGTCGCATATGAAAGCCCATGAGGGTCAATAAGTCCTGAAGCTATTTTTAAATGAAGGGCTGTCAGTCCCTACAGATATAATGGCCGACTGTACATAACCAGCAGCAGCCCAGCTCGTCTCAACAGCCCCCATCGCTGTCTCTTTTAGCAGGCGCAGACGATGACTGTCACAATAGCCACATTAGAAAGAGCCGTGACATTTGCCTCAGCGCAGGACATAGAATATGACCTGACCTATCTGAGCCTGTCACACAGGCAGCTACACACACTGCCTGTGTGACGATGTACATGCTCCACCAGTGTCTAAAAGGGGAGGGATTTTTCTCCCTAACTTGACATACCTGAAATGAGTAAGCAGCAAAAAGACATGCCTGTTGCTGCCTGTAGTGTTTTTCAGTTGCAGTTATGGGATCTGTTTGAACTTTGCATTAAGCCCTGTTTGCACAGGTTTGGGTAAGAACTATTTATGAATATAGAAAAGTCAAATAACATGTCGAATAATCTCTCTCAAAGTTGTTTTTTGTTCTTTAAAGATAGTTCTTCCCACGCACACACCCATGATTCTTAGGTGTGTCACCAAATGCTTTTGACTCAGGCAACCAACATGCAAATATTTGGTTGCTTATAAAGTTTGATTTATCCATCACTTGATTAACAGAAAGAGTGACAATTTATGTAGTTTGTCTTTTTAACCAAAATACTAATCCCAGTGACCTCACTGTCTTCAAAGTGAGTATTTGCAGTATTTGATTTTCTGTAAAAGTGAACTGAATATATTTAAACTGTTGGTTTGAGAAAACAAACTCGGCTCAATGATGTTTTTGGTACTTCCTGATATTGTATGCATCAAACAATCCATTGAGAAAGTGGTTTGCAGACTCAAGGTGTCAGTAATCTTTAATTCCAGGTATTGTCAGTAGGGCCCATATTTTACTCTCCTTCTTGAGGCAAGGTAGGTGAAAAAATGATCATTACAACACACATGACACATACACACATTATCTAATATGTCTTTTTGTCAGTGAACTGTGAGACAGACCTTCAGTCAGACAGCGAATCGTTTCCTCCCTGCAGTGACTCATAGTTTCGTGTTGTAAATCAAGGTGTGGCCTCACAGGTGCTTGAGAGTGACTGTGAGAACAAGGAACCTTCAGCGTTCACTTTCAATTATCATACCAGCATGCTTGATGAACTCAAACATAATAACATACCCACTTTGCAGTTTATGTTTTCTTTTCTTGTTCAGAATCAATTCAGAGTTAGTTCATTATATATAAATATCTGGAAAGAGCTTTGTACTTTGCTCTTCTCCTGCTGGCCTGGACTTGTGTGTTGAACATGCTGTGTGAGGCCAAAGTGTTTATTTCCAGGGCATTAAAGGGGTAGTTCACCCAAAAATGAAAATTCACTCATTATCCCTTCACCACTACGACAGCGGAGGAGTGGGAGGTTCAGGGGTAAACAGCACTGCAGCCAAATCCAATAATACTGAAGTGAGCAATCAAAACAGCATCATTTACACCATTTTGTTTAGCCTAAATGTCAAATCCAAATCAATTGTTTTGGATTTGGCTGCAACGCTGTTTACCCCTGAAACTGGGAAAGTGTTTTGTGGACTCAAACACTTCCCCCACCCCTCCATCGGCACAGTGGTGAGTAGATAATGACTGCATTTTCATTCTGGGGTGAACTATCCCTTTAAATACAGAGTTGTTGCAGAGTTTGAAGTTTTTCTTCAAGGATCCTCTTGAAAACTCACCACAACATAACTCGAACCAATGTTTTGTTGTCGGAAGGTAACCCAGCTCTCATTACTTCAGTACTGGCTCCCGCAGCACAGCGGTGTGTGTGTGTGCGGGGCTCGGAGCAGAGGCAGGGTGGGGTCGGGCTGATGAAGGCGGAGTCTGGGGCTGAGGTGACGCTTCTTTCTCTCAGTTTAGTCCGGAGCGAATCGAGCAGCAGCAGCAGCAGCAGCACTGAGCGGAGCTGGAGGAAAGAGGACACACAAGCAGGAGACTGTTCCGTCCTGAGGAAACACAGCACTCACCTGGGATTTAATACAACCTCTCTGTGTGGTTCGACAGGTAAGATTCCCCGAATAAGCGTTTCCTTTCTCCCACGGTCTTTAAACGCCTCTAACAGAGTCTTTGTCACTGTTGTGGTTCCTCATCGTTTCCCGTGATCGCCTCTGTCTCGCTTCATTTAAAGTGTGAATCCTCGCGTCTCCTGGTTCGTTTGTAAAGTGTTGCCCTCACCTGGCTGAGAGTTGAACCATCTCTGTGATCAGACTGGGGTTGAACCGTGTGTGTGGAGTTCATTTCCGCATGCCTCTCACACTGGCCCCCGCCGCAGCGCCGCTGCTGCGCACCGCTCAAAAGTTAGTTGGATGACCTCAAACTCAAATGTTTTTTCCCCTTCAAGCTACCAGGCAGCTGTTTATCAGATGTTTGGCCCCACGATCGATCACTCGACGTCACTTGTCAATAGAGGGGCCTGTAAGTTTCTGTGCGCGTGCATGTAGGTGCGTCCGCGTGCGTGAGAAGCCCAATTCCACTTTTATCAGTTTTATAAAAAGAGTTCGCCATGGTTCCAGCTGACATACAAATAACAAATGATATTAACAAATTAAAGTTGACATACTTATTCCAATCAATAGATTGACAGAACATGCATTCATTGTCATTTTTAAGATTAAGGGCCACAGCATTACTCTTAAATGTGAAGTTTTTTTCTTATTCATCCATAATCTAGAAAATATTTGAAGATATCTCTGATTTAAAGAGCAGTTATAAATAGCTTTAAAAAAAACAATCCGATATTAAACTAAAATGGCAGTAGAATGCTTACCTCAGCCAATAATCTCCTTAAACTCAATCAAGCTGCATGAAATTATAAACACCTATAGATATCGGTTCCCTACATTTCTCTTCATCAAGATCCACAAATATTCTCTCAGAAATCAGTGAAAAAAACAAAAACACCCTAAATGAAAATTTTTTGGGATCCACCCCCGATCCGGATTTGCACCAAAATTGAATGGGCTCATCCCGAACCCATACCGCATCCTTCCACAAAGTTTCATAGCAGTTCATCCATTAATTTTTGCCTTGTGTTGCCTATAAACTAAAAACAGACGGGTGAAAACATAACCTCCTTGGCAGAACAGAACTCTGTGTTGTAGCCCTAAATTTGAAATCTTTTACCTCAAACAACAGCAAATACTAGTGACCTTATTGTGTATGGGGGAGTGAGTGTTATTTTTCCTGCACATCTGTAATGTATGACAGTGAATGATGAATCATAGCCATTAAAATGTTGCTGGGGGTTACTTTACCTCCCATCCAGCCCCTCTCTGCTGCTCCTGCCAGCAGTGATGTCTCCAGGTGTTGACAAATCTTCCATGATGTCATTACCTTTGCAGATGCTCTGGATTTGACAGAACAGTCGACCCTGCTTTGTAAGCAAAGAAGGACAAATGTCTTTATTTGATTTTGTGAATAAATCCACTTAAATCAGCATCCAGGTGAAATGACTGATTTGTTTTTTATGCAATAAGTGACTTGCTGTGTCCTCTACCGTCAACTTTAACATCTAAAGTCAAATTAAAATTTCACATGAGACAGATCAGAATTTGAAATTTAACTGATTTTCTTAAATACCGAGCCTCTGCTTCACTAAACACTGAATCACAAAACCTATTGTTTTATTTTGGGAATTATTAGCAAGTCACACCCTCACAAGGCACCAACAACATCTCCAAACAAGTCTGAGTCCAACTGTTTCGGAGACCAACGCGTCCAGCTGAGCCCGGTGAATGTATGTCAGGTTGAATACGACAGGGTGCCATTACTTTCTGCCAGACCGGCCTCACTGAGCTCTGCCCGTGCCATCAAGTAGTCCATCGGCAGACAGCGCCCTGGCTGGAAAGCTGTTCCCATCTGGCCTCAGGGAACAGGGTGAATGGGTGGTGGGATGGCTGTGAGAGAGGGGGGGGTGACTTACTGTAGATTTCGCAGCTACAGCTGTGGTTGCACGGTGATAATCCCCCCCCCCCTTCTGCTTAATTCCCTGATACTGTCCTACATTAGCAGAGCAAGAGGCCAGGAGATCCTTCAGTTTATAAATAGGACTACACTTTCCAAAGGGGATTACTGTATGGCATACACCCTCACATCTTTGTGTGTCTGGAAGTTTTTTTCTTTTTCTGTGGATTCACTGTCTTACCTCGCCTCGGACCAGTGTCCAGTGGTGCATGACTGAGTACTCTTCAGGGGCTCAGTTACAGCCACTTGGCGTGAACGTCAGGTGACCTATGTGTTTGCATATCACCCTTCTATTGTGTTTTACTGTTCCCATGGAGAGGGAGACGCAGAGAGATACAGTTTCCTGTCAGCGACGATAGGGGTCATTGTGGTTGAAGTCAAAGGGAAGGTAGTGTGACGGCATCACAATCTCCATGGGGTTAACTTCCAGAGGCTTAGAAGAACATTTTCATCAGACAACACCGTTCTTAAGCCATGGCAGATTTATTCAACCCTGCAGCCTCTAAGACACCCGGTGTTTGATTCCTTGTGATTATCTCTGACCAGCAAGAAATCAGTTAATTTACTTTTAAAAACTGATGTCTTAAGCTTTAATGTATGAAAGTAAACCAAGCAAGTGCAACCAAGCATTAGATTGAGTCTCATTGTTTAAATAATTGGCAGCATTGTCGGAAAATACGCAGTCATGCAAAAGATTTCTGCTGTCACAGACAAAACATAAAATCAAGAGCCTCCAGCAGAGCACTGTGGCAAAATGCTGAGCAAGTGAAGCTGACACTGCCTGGCTGAACACTACCCATGACAGTCACTGGAATTAATTATTTACCTTCAACAGTTCATGTGGTTGGATCAAATGAGGGCAAGAAAACGTCCCTTACTTAAAATGTCGCAGGCCTAACGGCTGCTTCCTTCCATCACTTGTACTTTTAAAGGCTGTTTGAAAGTCTGCCAGCTTGGTCATTTCAAGTCAGGTCACATCAGTCTAACAGCACTCTGGAAAGAGCTGAATCCGTTTGTTTTCTCCATGAATACATTACCATGGATCATTTTTTCATTACAGGCGACGTATCCAAGCAGGGATGGAGTGAACTAGATTCCAGCACTGACTCAAAAGAGAATGTTTTCACAGTTGGATGATTTGGCTGAGCTGTACTTCTCAGCATAGTGACTCTGATGAGTCCTGTGGTGTCTGTTCGTCTTCTCCTCCTCCTCCTCCTCCCTGTCCCTTAATTACACTTCTATGAGAGATTGATGAATGTGGGGACAGCAAGGGTGTGGCTGAAAAATGAAACTAAATCACCAGGGAAGCTCGACGCAACTTGACGTCAGCATTTTATAAGAAAGTTAATTTTGTATGTCGTCACTGTTAAGTGACAAATTTCACAACTCGGTTTTTGGTTGTTTTTCTATGGTTTCTTTGGTTTTGGGGGATGTCATGCTGAGTTGTGCAACACTGGGGTCTGTGAATACTTATCAAAACAGTGGATAATCTGAAAAATTCTTTGGCATTTAAACAATCAAGGCTTATTCTTCCTCTCTCAGCGTCTTTGTTCCCTAAACTTGGACATTTTAGAGGGTTTTCACCTGACAATAGCGATATATGTATCTAAATAAAACAAAATATATAACATTGTCAGAACGAGTCACTATTTTTAATAAAGCTAGTTTTTCACTCATTTAGTTTTGTGATTTCCATGTCGAAGAACAAACAGCAAACTTGTCAGCCCAACTCGCTTAATTCTTCAGGGTCTCTGTAGACGTTTGCACTGCTCTCCACATCACCCTCCTCCCGCTCCCTCGTGCCTCTAATCTCCCTGAAAAATTAATCATCTGTCACATCGCCTCAGCGCTCAGCCGCACACCGATGCGTAGTGGTGGCAGTTCAAAGTAAAAAAAAAAAAACTCCTGGTCAGGCCAATAAACAGGGCTTTGGATGCAGAGTTGGCCACCAAACTTGGCTCATGAACAGGCAGAGCCATCTTGATGTCCCTCAGCTTCTTTGGTGGCATCCAGTGGGGACACTTGAGACCCGGTTTCCTTTTCACTATGACAGTAGTCAATGGGACAATGCGGTCAGTCTTTTCCTCTCTACCCCAAACAAACTAACACAGAAGCTCTCTGTGCCGTATCAGGGACATGGTTCATCCTCTTCCTTCATACCATGGAGCATGAAGGGGGACATCCTTCTTACTGTAGGTCCAAAGACAAAAACACAGTCCTATAAGAATTATTTACATCACTAACACCAAGAATAAAATCTTTCCAGTTTTGGATTTAATACTTTTTCAAAAAAGATAAAAGTGGAATCTCCACATCCTCTATGATTCACTGTCCTCCTGATGTGGAAGACAGTCTTTGAACGACAGAATGTGAGTTGTGAACTTTGTTGTTATATTTTATTGGTATGTGCCACACTTGTTTTTACTCTTTCACTACTTTATCAGCTTTGTGTAACTTGATCCTGCTCAGTACTCAGTCACCTCCTCCGAGACAGCTCACATTTCCTTTGATTCACAGCGAGGTCCCACAGAGAGTAAACAGCTTCGTACCAGATTACATTCACAGTACTGCATCCACTGGCCTAATTCAACTCATCTAACAAGTAGCAGTAGTGAATCAAGTGGCCATTATCCACTCTGCTGTTTATTTTATTCATTGGCTGTGGTTGAGTCTGTTATTGGGAATTTTGCCTGGTGAGACGAGGAAGGGGGTCATGCTGTGCTGCATCTGCCACATTAAGACAAACTCAGTTTATGTGTTGCACAAGTGCACTCCAGCATTATCTCATTGTCTGTTTCTCTGTGGGCTCTTGGCTTAGCCACGTTGCCATGGTCTGGATTTTATCAGCTGCCTGTTACAGTCAATTGACAAATGCTCTCCATTTCTCCCTCACAAAGAGTGAGTGCTTTTATCAAATGTAGAGGTCAAGCTTGTTCCTCGTCATAGTGCATGACGTGATTGTGCCAACAAGAGTTTGTCACCATAGTTTTGTTGTCACCATACTTTTGCATACCCAGTACATAAAGTACAGCTTCGCCTAA